TGGATTGTACAGGCATATTGTAGTTCTCTTCTGGCGCTCATATTAAGGATTAATTTTGAATTAAGATACGGCGTTATGTGCTGTCTTTTAGGTACATCATAGCAAAAACGAATGCACGCATTCTGTACTCGCTGTATTGCTCTCTCGGTATTGCTATTTATCCTAGGGCCGTAAATGGTAGCACAATAATTGAAGGGTGATAGCACAAGTAGGTCAGCCAAGAGGAGGCGCAAGTCTTCTTTAAGATATGATCTATGTTTATAAAGTGTTTTCAACTTAAAGAAACTATTTCTAATTTTGGTATTTATGTGCTCTACATATCTTTGTTCGCCAATTCTCGTTTACTCTGATATGTCTGTGCATAAATCTATCTCGCTTATACGGTTTTTATTATTTATAGAGCCCCTCTACCCAATTCTCCCTCTACGGTATTTTCAGAAGCAGGAATTGTTTATGAGGAAAAGCGCAATCGTTTGTTACCAACCAATGCTGAAAAAATTGTTTTCATTCATCTCAACCTACCATTGATTGATTTTAACTAATAAAGCAATAATTTGTGATTAAAATACTTGATAGATACATTTTGAATAATACATGCTTTTTTTTTATTATTTGATATTTTACGACTATTCGGCCGAATCCGAATATTAAAAAAAGTGGTCGAAAAGGCCGAGTAGCGAATAGTAGCCGAATATTCGTGGCATCTCTAATAATTATGGTAGAATTTGACATGCAGGTAAGTTTGTTTAACCGTTAATTCTATTCTTATTTATTTTATTTTTTATCCAGTGTCCTGCAATATCGAAGACCAAGTACAAAAGGTGGATCCGACTCGGATTGTAAACACCGGCAGTCGCATTGTAGGGGGGTCTACGACCACTATTTTGAGATACCCTTTTGCTGTACAGGTTTGTAACCAATTTATTGTTATGCTTATTTTATATCAGTCAAGAAAGAAAACAAGTTTTATTTTCAGAAATTCCAGAAGTCTTATGTAAAGACGATAGCATATCAAGCTACACATTGACGAATCTTGTTTCGTTGTTATTGATGCGATATTGGAGCACTATCCAGTGTTGTACTTATGTTCTAAGAAAAAAATGTGTTTTTTAGGTTTTTATGAGGGATATTCTAATATGTGGCGGATCACTGATCACAAGACAAATGGTTCTGACGTCATCAACCTGCCTTCACGGATCGTAAGTAAATTTTATGAAAAGTAATTAAATATTTTTCCTATAGATTTAACATGACCTTTGATTTCAACTATCTCAGACCACAGGTAGAAATTCACAAAGTAAGAAATGTTACCATCTATCAACACCGGTGCAGGACGCCTCAAATCTATGCGATTTAGACCTCTAAGACGCCGCATAGATGTGTGTCTTGTGTTGAATACAAGCAACCGGCAAACAGAAACGAATACTCTATTTTCATACAATTGAATTGATATGAAATCGACACATTCACAACCGGGAAGTCGGATACTGTCGTCCGCAACCGCAATTTCTAGAATTTAAAATATTTGCTTCTAGTTGCCGGTTGCTTGTTTCGAATACAAGACACGTTTGCATGGCACCGTTTTATTTATCGTTGGATGACTGTCGCTTTTAGCCTGTTCCCAAATCGACTCGAGACCACTTGGGTCAAGCCGGACTACGAAACGTCACAGATCTTGACAGGCCATGGCTGTTTCAGGGGGAGACCTCACAGATTGAATTTATCCGACGTGGGGTCCTGTTACTGCGGCGATGCCGAAATCGAGGACGTACACCATGCCCTCTGGGAGTGCCCCCTGTAGGGAGGAGCGTAGGGAATTAGTAGATGGCGTCAAAGTTCTCGAAGTGGGTTCGGTCAACTATGGCGATCTTGTAGGCTCGGAGGCGAACCTCAGGCGGCTACGGAACTTCGCGCGGAAATGGCATGATCGTCGGAGCAGGCAAGAAAGGACGTAGAGAGACCGCTGCGAACTTTCGGCGGACGCCCAAGGCGTAATTGTGTCGTGCACGCCCCAGAAGGGAGAGAATAGCATTAGGGACATAGGACGACGTACAAATATTTGTACTTTGTTTCGGCCCGTGTAACCAAGAAGGTTGATAAGGCCATGGGAAGGTTGGTGGGTTATGTCTGTCGTGACTGCGTCGTGGACGTTTTTTATTGAAGGACTGTCGTCTATTCCCACTGGATGGTGATGACAATTTATCGGTTTACGGCAGCCGCCTTGTCGTTAACCCGGCAGACTAGTTTGCTATGCAGACGAGGACACGGGGGTAAAGTAGGGAATAGAACTATGTGCAGACAACAAAATACTAGCTGCGATTGTCCGTCGTCACGTTTTTATCGCGACGTTTTATTTATCGTCTGACGACTGTCGTTCTAACTCTTCCCAATGTCTTGACAGTCTGTCGGCGTAACGTCAAAAAAAGTCGTGAATGACCTAATGCTAATCGTACTATATGTATCGTGCGTAACGTAATCGACTATCTGTCGTCACGACATAATGGGAACGCGCCCTAAACGGCACTGCAACTGTTGTAGACAGGCGTGTCGCTTATAACAAAGCGCATGATTTGTTGGTGCCGTCACTTGTCACTTAGTATCATAAAAAAAAAGAATATGGCAGATTAATTCCATTCAGAAATTGTGTCTTTTGGTGGAGAGCTCCGTTTGGTCCATATGCTTCAATAATCCATGTGGAGTGATAGTAATCCCAAAGTCCGGGCAGAATTCGTGTTCTGGTGGTCATTATAACATGCCTGGTGTCAGAGGAGAACAACCTTCGAAGGCATTATACTAGTTTGTAACCCGCAAGGGGTCAACGTGATGAGCATAAACCTTCTGCTTCTCAGAAGTGATGTATATACATTGATATAGTTATACATTTTTAAAAATTATAAATTTCTTGTTTCAGAGAGGGACTATATCCTATCTTTCACTTTAGAGTGCTCGCTGGCGCGACGTACAGTCAATACCTCAGTAAAGGTAAAAAATTGCACTAAATAACACTCATTGATCTCGTTATTTGTCAAATGAAATCAAATAATTAATTTCGGATCAAACAATCTAAATACTTACAAAATTAAAATTAAAATTTCCGATCAATTACATCATTAAATAAAATAAAAAATTAAAACTTAAATAGAAATAATATTAAATTTTAACATAAAGAAATAAATAACTTAAAGGATAACAAATCTCATTATCATTGAATAAACAACAATTTATAAAACTAAAATTTATAAAACCAATGGTTAAAAATTTTAAAAAAGTCCTCATCCAATGGGCTTTGATGGGGCAGTCTACTTTTTCCGCTACAACAGTCAGGATGCTGCTGGGGCCCCCCACGCACACACGTCACCAAAGTGAGGTTACCCGCTTCCTCAGAATGGCATAAAAGCCGTCTGTGCCTACTTCAGCGAATATGCCTGAAGCGCTACAGTGTCGCGGTAACCCCAACAACATCCTAAACGCGTTGCTGTACTGTAATACCCTCAGTGTTTAGGGTCACCTTAGTATATTCCACCAAAAGGTAGATCTCTCTATTTCTACCAGACCGGACTGATCATCTATCACCCAGTGACCCAGGTCTTTAATTTTAAAAACTCTATCGAGCTCACTGGCACATCGAGAGGTCAGCGGTACAATGCCAACTTTTCCACCCCGCGGCTTAAACATTAGGAGCTCACTCTATTATGTTTTGTGTTTAAGTCTCTGAGCAACAGCATAGTTTTCACAGATCGCAATTAGCTCACGGAGGGCAAATTAAGCAGCACCTACATCAGCAGCATAGCTGATATTGTTGACATAACATCTAACGAGCAACCATTACTAACACTACTGAGCTCACCAATCAGTGCATTCACATACAAATTCAAGAGTTTGGGCGACGCGAGACTCCCCAGCCGCACCGACACACCTTAACCTGTGCGATTTCTACAACGACCCAGCCCACTTGACATTATAGAGCTATTTCCGATTTCAAAATTCGAAAAGCCTAACCTCGAACGGGAGATAAGTTTCACAACTCAACTTAAGCCACAACACATTATATGATACCATACCGAAGCCCTAGACCAACTCGAAGAAGCATGCATGCACTGGCGTTTTTAGTCTGTGTGTGTGTGTAAAACAGAACAGTATGCTTGTGGCCCCAACTGCATATATTAATATATTTTCAAGTGCTAAGTTAAAATGCGACCAAGCAATTCCATGATAGTGGCCAGCGAAATAGATTTGTAGTTGTTTTTATCAGACACATCCCCTCTTCGTGTTGCTCTTTACATGAGATTTACTACCTATTGGTTAGACTTTGGGAGTATTATCGTTTACATCAAATGGTCAGGTACGTACGAGTGCCGCAAACAGAGGTTAAATAAATGAGATTTTATGGGGTATAAATCCCCCGGCGATTGCCTACTCGCAAGTTGTAAATGCTCTCATTTACAACGTGCGAGTGGGCGAATGCTTGTCATTCCCTTTATGATAGACGCCACATCAGCAGCAGTGAATTGTAGGACTACATTTAATAAGCATAGCATTGTTTGGATATAATTGTAGTATACTTTTATTCATTCATTATTTTCTTATTTTTTATTCATTTCTACTGCGTAGTATTTTGTGTCGAAATTTTTACAAATAAATAAGAAATAAAGAAAATATATGCTTACCACAAGAGAAAAAAATGAAACAAAACGGAAAAAAAACTAAACATAATGAAAACAATTAAAATCTATATAATAAAAACATTCAAAAATAAAACATCAATAAATAATTACAAATCAAACTCACAAAAAATAAAAATAAAATTAAAACACTATACACCAACACCACCAAGTACCAAGTACCAAGTACCAAAACACTATACGAACTATTCACATAAACACGGACGGTTGTGTGGTGCCAGTTGCAGTAACAAAAGCGTCACTAACTTCGCAATTGCTGGAAAATGCAATGCGATCCCAGCACAGTTTTTAGTTAGGCTTAGGAGCCTAAGTGAGGTCACTGAGGTTTTAAATTAAATATTGCTATTTATGTCCACAGAAGGAAAGCTTACCAGGGTAGAACGTTTAGCAGTACATGAACAATATGACATCGCCATCCTACGCACGGTTTTGCGATTCACTCTTGGCCCTAGAATCGGTTTAGCTTTCATACCGTCGCAGGTAATTTAGTTTTGCGAACATGTTACATGTCTTATTTGTTTATGCAAAGCTTGCTTCAATCAAATTAGTTGTTCACTCTCTAAATCGGTTGAAGCGAATGTCTGCAGATGATATCATTCTCTGTTGATGAGTTCAGATAGTCACTGGGTCATACTGCTAAGAGAAAACAAATGAAAGAAAGAAAGAAGAAAGAAAAATAGTTTATTTGGTAACCATAATACAAATAGAACGTAAAAACAAAAATTAAAATAACATTATTATAACATTTACTTAAAAATAAAACAGTATTATATTTAAGATGGTACCAAAAAGGTCTCCACTCAGCTTATTTGTAACGTAGGGAAACATCTCGTTACGCTGATTTTCAGTGAAGCCAACAATTTACAATTAACAAAAATAAAGTGGCTTCGACCAAGTAAAAAGAAAAATAGAGAATTTAATTTAAATATGAAAATTCAATTCAAAAAAGGAGAAACTGCGAGTACGTGAAGAGTCTGTGTGAGCGTGTATTGTGTGATCACTGTGTTACCATGTATGTGTGGTTGTGATATTAGTGTCAGTAGTGGAATGTCACAATCGCACCGCACGACTGCCAGTGCTGTTGGACACCTGGCTAGATAATAAAAATTTCTTAAAAGATAATTTGAAGGATGCAACAGATTTGTAATTTCTTAATGGTGGTGGACAAACAAATCCTTTTGTTTGTCCCTTCGCTTGCAATTCCCAGCTTGACGCTACATTGCAAACACCACCAATACTACCTTCCTGTGACTCTGAAATGGTGGAGATCCATAATACGTCAAAAAGAGGCCTTGAAAAGTCCTACAGAATTGTGGGCCAGAATTGTTCTGTGTTAACACATCAGTATCTTCTCTATACGAGTTTTGGACAAGTCCCAAAAACCCGGAAGCTTGAAAATGTACAGCCTGTGCTGTCGGGTTAGGTGGCTTTGGAATGTAAAGAGGTACAAGATTAAAAGGGGTAGAGAATTACAAAGTAGAATAAAACGTTTATAGATATAAAGAAAACAAAACGGAGTATATTAGAGTGAGTGGTGTAGTAAGTAGATGGAAATAGAAGAAGACACGGAGTTGGATGCCTCTGCCCTCGAATGTTGAAGAACGAGGACAGAGGTGCAGGATCAGTGAGCAGTGAGGTTCTTGGCTAGGTAGCGGCTGTAGAGCAGGACCGGAGAGCAGCGAGGTTGATGACGAAACCGCGGTGTTAGAACAGCAGTGGGTATAGCAACACTTGATGGTTGGTTTGGATGTTTATTCATTTCAATTATCAATAGAATAGTTTTTTTAAATTATGATTTCACATAACAACAATTGACATTGATTGCTAGGCACTTTTTACAATCAACAGAAAAGTCTTGTTGCAATTATTCCGTGTAGAGCGCAACATGTTACGTAAACATGTTGCGCACAGCACAACTAACTCAGGAACGGGCTCAGTTAAGCCTGTTCTTTGATATTCGTATGCTTTTCGCGAAAATACTCCACTAATTTGTCATTATTATTGATAGAAAGATCGGACAAACAGAAAGAAAAATACCTTTGATCCAATAAGACTCCGGTTTGGCAATAGTTGCTGGTTCAATCCAATCGGATCGAAGGAATTTTGCTTTGTATTTATACGATCTTTGTAATAATAACAAACTGTCTCTGGAAATTTCAGGATTCTGAGTTACCTGATGGTAGTACATTGACACATATTGGGTGGGGGTCACGGAGGGTAAGTTTTTTAAGTTTCTGCTTTTGGTGAATGAAATACTTTATTCTTTATTTGCATACCGTAACATAATGTACATTAAATTATGGACCCTGAATAGGGCACAGCAAATAGTAGAAGAGAAGACTAGTCATTAATTATCTATCAAATATTATCTATTAATATTAATTGATATTATCTATTATCTATCTATTTATTAGATATCTATCAACAGTTTTATATAATTTAATGTTTTTATAATATGTACTTTTTCTATATTACTAAAACTAAATTTAAACAAATATGTTTACAACTAGTTAACAAAACTCAGGTGCCAAACATTTCATCTTCTAAAAAATCTTTTACATTATAATAACTTTTATTTATTGGTCTCTAAAAAAATATTTGTTGTTTGGTTAATTTCTTAAACTCTCCGGAAGTTTGTTACATATTTATATTGACGTAGGGGTATAGACTACAGAAATACATATTTAATCTAGAATAAGGTATTACCAATCTGCTTCTATTTCGAAATGCATATTTAGTTGGGACGTCTTTACGATTTTGATAGAAGTCTTGATGGTTTCGAACAAATTTACAAATTTCTAGTATTAGACGCAAGGGAGAGTCAGGATTTTATGTTTGATAAAACAGGGTTTACAACTATCTGTTTGGCCTATATTTGTGAGAATTCTAATTAATTTCTTTTGTATAGTAGAAGAAGATACTAGGCATATCCGTGCTATTGCCCCATTGAATTATGGCATAGTTTTAGGTAGATAAAGCAGTTTTAAAGTCTGTTGTGTATTTTTAATTCTTTAAAGCATATACAAATTTAGACAATTTAGCTTTCAGTTTTTGTACGTTTTTTTTCCAATTTAAATGTTTATCTATGTCAACTCCTAATAATGTACTAACATGTCATGTATCCAATGGTATAGAACTAAAGCATGTTTACGAATTTAAGTATCTCGGACACTTTGTAACTGACGACCTTAAGGACGAGGTGGATATCGAGAAGGAACGCAGATCGCTGGCGGTTCGTTGCAATATGTTGGCCCGCAGGTTTGCTCGCTGTACTATTCCAGTTAATTGTCAAGTGTTCTACACGTGCAGCCTGTTGACCAACCACACGCAGCGATCTCCCAGCGCACTGCGGATCCAGTATAACAACGCCTTTAGGATGTTGTTGGGACTGCCCCGGTTCTGTAGCGCTTCAGGCATGTTTGATTGATTGATTTTAAGGCCATTATGTGAAAGAAAACTGCTTCATTGCTACATAGAGTACGGGCCAGTTCCAATTCCGACCTGAGGGTGATAGTAGGGCGATTCGACTCCCCCTTTATAGCTCATTGTGTGCGAAGTTGTGTATCGTTGTGAAAATTAACTAATATTAGTCAGATAAAAAATGGTTTTTATTTTATTTTATTTTTATTATTTTATTATTAGTAGGTAGGTAGATATAAAAGTTTAGAGAAGAGGACAGTAATGGATTTTCTAACTTATTTCGTAGGCCTTGGCCGGAAAGAAGTCTCACGGTCCATAAATGACAAACTTGCCGTGTTCGATTTTTGAAAGTAATGCAAAAATTCCCGAGCATGTTTGAGAAAATAAAATAATGACCATGTTATCCAATCTATGAAGCAAAATATTTTATCTACAATATTTAAAGTAACATCTTCCCGTGTCGTATAGCCGATAGTCACCTATACACTTTTTTGTTAATCCTAATTTTATACTTTAGGTGGGGAGTAGAAATCCTTCGCCTGTTCTGTATCAAGTACATATGTACAAACTAAACAAGGAAATGTGTAACATCCTTACTGAGAACATGCTGTGCTCTGGCATACCAAATGTAACAGGTGAGTACCCTGGTTTAAAAATGTCGAAGTTTGTACAGTAAAGTTACCAATGCCGCAGTTTGTTTTAACTTCTTCTTTTAAATTCAAAGAAGGATGACGAAACTTGACCCAAAATAAACGAAGTGCCGTTCATGGACTTTGCTTGTATAATTTTACGTTTTACTTTATACCTAGTTATCAATATATTTTTGTATATTTTTAGATGTCGGGAATAAAGAAATTGTAAATAATGTATTTTAGAATAAATGCAAGAACATAACGCAAATGATTCTGTTCGACCATAGATTAGAAACGTTCTTGTTCGTACGTTTAATTTTAAGCATGATTGAATATTTACGTACCTAAAGTATTGGTTATTTTATAGTACACATATAAAACATTAAAGCTTTGTAATACCTAATCAAATAATCAACAGTAATGCATACAGTAAAAATAAAACAATGTGACAAAAATGTTCAGACAATATTGAAATGAGAGATAAGTAAGTAAAGGAACGTTTTTTGCCAATGTCAACATCACATTGACGTTGAGAACAGTGTGACCATTTATGGCAGATTCTGCCATTTGGGCAGATTCAATTTTTATTCATTTTCATTGCGCCAGAACATTTTAACGTTGTATTAAATGAGGCAGAGTTTGGCAGTTTTGGCAATATTCAGCAAGTTTTTTATTGTTTTTCGAAAAAACGGAAAACTTGTTGTTTTCTGCTACTACGAATAGGTATACATCTGAAGCGACATACAGGACAACGCAATAAACATAACCTATATCAACTTTATAACCCCAGCCTCTACAGGCTGTACTCAATTAGCTTTTTTGATGCTTTGATAATGAATCGCAAGTATCGATAGGTATCTCTACTGAACGTCGTCAAAAACACTGGGTCACAATATACACGGGATGTCGCCATCCTTCTTTTACGATACAAATCATATATCACTGTTTTCCTCGTGAATAGCAGATAATTTCTCTCTTGGGGGAGGTGTTAAGTGTAAGAAACGCTCATTTACCAGCTTCGTCAGCCCTTTCAAGCCGCCGCAACAGCACCCATCTAAGTAGGACAAACGGCATGGTAACTGTAACTTCTATATATTACATATTTTAAGTTAGAAAGGGTTGATTGTATTTTTTAATTCCATGTAGTTAGGTTGACATAGATAATAAAGTATTTTTTTATAACAAACCTTGTCTCAGTCACTGTATCACGCTCGTAGAGTGTCTGTGTAAAGCTATTGTTGCCTATTATTTGAGCTATTGTTATGCCTGGGCAACAATAGCGCATCCTGATGCGCCAGACGTACAAGAAAGGAATGGTAAGTCATGCGTCCTTTCGTGCACACTGGGTAAAGGCAATCAGATCTTTCGCAACGTCACGCTTTAGTGGCACCATACATTAGGACCATTTTGTCAAAAAAGGCGACGCATCTATCTTGAGGATGTTCATGTGTTTTGATTGATGCATTATATATGTGTTTCAGGTGTGGGTCCCTGTCATAGAGATGAGGGCGCCCCGGTGCTGTATGACTCCAATATAGTGGTCGGAGTGACGCCATGGGTAGCTAATTGTGGAACCCGGGACTACGGCGTGTACACGCGTGTCGCCAAATTTACTACATGGATTGATCAAACGGTCGGTTTGACTTTTATATTCTTCTTTTCTTTCTCCATTACTAGAAGCATGATTTCTTTTTGCAATAGGATTTTAACTAAGTTCAGTGAATCGTAAGTCTACCACGAAATACGAAGGATTGATAATCTTTAGCTTCGTATCGGATCCGGAGGCTATCACGAAACGCTTTTGATCACGAAGTACATACGACGATCCACAAGTATATTTGCGAATCCTTACTCTGAAACGCTTCCATCGTAAAACGAAACGATAGCTCGAGGTTTGTTTATGTCAAAATCTCGTGAATACTTAGTTAGTGCGTAATGTTAGTTCTGGAGGCGCTCCTACATGAAATGCGGGAAGATGAAGTAGAGAGACGACGTCAAAAGAATCGCCGTTTCTTGAGATCGCTTACCCACTGATGACAAAGCTGTAAGCGATTTAGTTACAAACAGACACTGTCGTTACTGCAAACTGTCGCAAATGCTCACATACTGCCTGGCGGCAGAAATAGGTAGGGTTGCAGGCGGTACCTCCCTGGACGAACTCTGTCACAAGGAGCTCTACTGCTTAATAAACTGTGGAAGTTCTGAACATTTTTTCACATCTGTTTTCGATTTACTTCCGTTACTTTTATAACGAAAGCTTTAAACGAACATTTACAACGTTCGCAATGAACATTTTTGAGCAGTTTTGTGCAAATTACGATTATAACCCAAGAACAAGTCCTATTTGGAACTATTTCGTAGAGATCTTTATACAATTTACACTTTCGATGTCGAAACTGACTTTTCTAAGAGGTAGCTATGTGCTCAACATATTGAAAACGAGACGATAAATATTGTGATAAAATGTTAGTAGATACATTAAGTTTCAGAGGGAGGTTTTATTCTTACGTAGACCACAATGATCGATAAATGAATGTTTGTTTTGAATTATCTCGTTCACTAACACGATACGACATTAATTTAAAAATATTTTTTTTTTTAAATATACTTTGTGTTATATATAGACAGTGTATTGTTTTTTTTAGGTTCTCTACCTCAACGGAAGTTCATCTGTGAGCATATCGAGAATAATTCTACTGGTCACACTCATCTGTACAATGCTCAGCGCCAGTTAGGAAAATTTGTTTCATATGTAAATCTTGACCTTCAAAACTTTTTGAGTTTTTATACCTTGTTTTATTTTACTACCATCATCATTACTTAAAAGAAACATAAATTTCTGTCAGCCTAAACTACGCAGTCTCTCTCTTCCTTAGACTATTGGCGCCGCAAATGCGCCTGTTTGTGTTGCGAGCTGCACACGAACATTATGTGGTGCGATCTGTTCGCCACATATATTTACATGCATTTAACTGCACGTGTACAGCACGTATGCAGCGCGCGTTAAGCGCGTTTGCGGCACATTCTCCAGATCTGTACGCACCCTTAGCTTCCGCACGAAAAATGAGTTTGTTGTTCCTGATTGTTGTTGTTTGTTTGTGTAGTGTGTGAGTTTGTTGTTGTTGCTGTCCGTTTTCAACATTACTTTAGCCCCTCCTCATTCTTTCTGTATTATTTACATTGAGTTTCCATGATCTACATGTTTATGTTTGTCTGAGAAACAATTAATCTAATTTATATAGTCATTTGACGAATGAAATTTTTCTAGTAAAAATACAAAATAAATAGTGACATTAAGTCTCAATTTATATTGGGGCGGAACGGATGGAAGCGAATTTTCGTAATGATATAATAGCGTAGCTACCATAGCGTAATGAACTTTATGGTCAATTATGCAACGTGCAAACTCGATACGAGCCAAAAATCACGTCGGCATCTTCCGCGGAATTCCGCAGCTGCTGTCGCAACGCCTGGGAAATCCATGAGAAGCGGCGCGTAGGCAGGC